AGTAGTAGTAGTCGTTGTCGTCGCAGTGGTGGTGGTGGTAGTAGTAGTGGTAGTGGTGGTGGTAGTGGTAGTAGCAGCAGCAGGTTGCTATTATTATTATTATTCGTTCTATATTCTATATAACCCACAGTCCGTTACATGAGGTTTTATGCACATGAGACGGTGTTTTTTAGCAAAACGTGCCGGAAGGCTTCATAACCCTTGAGCCGCCACCAAAATGCAGGACAAAGAAATGCACGTGATGTGCACACAGGTATGTACAGATACCTAGGTATCTTTATATATGATATATATATATATGGGGTATTCACGCATGTTTACATGTATGTGGAAATTGAATTTACATATACGTCTGTATGAACAAACATACACATGCACAGACACACCTCCATGAATGCATACCTATATGCACATGTATCAATGTTCGCACACATGTACGCGCACGTGGACACTCGGGGTGTTGCCGGATTCGAGACACCTGCAGTTCCATAGTAGATCCATTGTGCCGCGACGTGCCGAAACCCCACACCCTCTCAATTGCCCGTCGGGTGCAGTGCCCAGGAAGGACCTCGCCTCGTTCAGCGCATTGAGTCTGAGGTACCTCGGTGGCAAGCTTGTGCAGTGCATAAAGCAGCAGCTGCACACGGTTAGCCATGCCAAGCGACTTTGGCATCTAAACTCTTTCCACTTCCTTGACCAATGCCTGAGGCAGGCACTATAAAGATTCAGTGGGAGCTCCTTTGCTAAACTTTTGTGTGCGGCAGTTTTGAGCCTTGCCTCTTGACGCACTTGCCCGTGCAAGGAGACCGGGCGGTGCCATGCTCGGCACAGGCACACGCATGGAAGCTGTCACGACAGATTGGGGTGCTCGCGGCTATATGCCCCTTGGTCTGAACCAGCTGCAGGCGAAGCGACTGAGTTGACGTCTTGTCGAGAATCGAATCCGATCGGAAGACATCCTGCATCCTCTTTTGAGGTGGGATCCGGCCGTGGAGGATCCAAGACTGGTTTTCGATGGGCTTGGACATGCCGACACAGCGCCCTAGCTCGTTTTGCGATGCTTTCTTTGCTGCGAGGGCTGCAAAACTCTCTTCTTGAGTCATTGCCGGATTGGGCCTGCAATTCTTGTTGTGACATGCAATGGTTCCCATTTGCATTTTTTAAGTCTATTTCGTAGACTGCCATGTGCAGATGCAAATTTCTTGATCAGGTGCAGTTCACGGTTGCAAATGCAACATGCGGTGGACAGTACAAGGTTGCTATGACGCCCGGTAGAATCTTTGCGAATGTCTTCGTTCGTACATCAGGTTTAGTCCGTCTTAGCCTGTTTGCGTCGCTACTCAGGACTACAATTACAACCATTGGGGAGGGTCCCTTCTCTACTGCCTTGGACGTGACCAATGCGAGGCAGGAGAGTTTTCAAGACGGATGCTCCGAGAGAACTAACTGCTGACTGAGCTACCGTTGCAGACTTCATTCAGGCTGCCTGGTGTACCTCGCAATGTGGTCGTCACAAACACAACGACCTCATCCATCTCCATCGCATGGGAAGAGCCAGAAGACACAGGCTGGGCGCGTGACGCGCCATGGGCAAGTGTAGCCGTTTTGCAGCTTCGAAGATAGCCCAACTGGACAGCTTCACGGTGACTTCGGCTGGTCAATGCTGTCTTGTTATGGCTCCGCACATGCCTTCTCAAAGCCGGCGAGGATGTGTCCCAATCCACCAGTACAGCAGCTTGGGACGCAATACTGTCCTGAGCATTCCGTGGCTTTGAACTTAATGGCAATTCAAGGAATCTTGCGCTACTATCCCGAAGCCGGGTTTCGAGTCGTGGGCTATGCCACACCCGCTGACGGCCTCCTGCAAGTGCCAGCTGACACCTGGACGAATCACGGTTTCGGCAACTGCACACTTTCGGGTATGATGTCGTTTGCTAGGCTCTTTTGCATGACACTTAAAAAAACTGCTGGCTGATGCCCAACACCTGAAGAACCGCACTTACGTGGACGACGGTCGCTGCTTCTTCGCTAGCCCAGCAGATGACGACGGGTCCTGCACCTTGGCCGTTTTGAAAGATTGCGTGAAAAGTCGCAACATTGAACTCACTTTCTGTTGCACAGCGCTGCGAATTGGCTTGCTGGAACGGGGCCATTCGCAGGGCTGTCCGAAGTTGACGTGATCCGAGGTACGTGTCCGCCATCATGCCTACAAGCAGGCACTTTAGTGCCTATAGAAGCACATGTCTCCGGACTCCCGCTTTGCCCTTCGAGGTCAACTGTATCGCTATCAGATTCAGGCATGCGTCCCTCGGACGGAGATTTGAAGCAAGTCCGGATGACAGGCTTTAGAGCCGTGCAGCGAAGCTTTTCACTTTCACAGCTCGGTCTCCTCGTGATGCGAAGTGCTTAGGTCTTGGGGGCCTATGGTGTGGACACCTTGGAGCTCCCTGAGGCCCACTGCCGCAGAAGCTTCTGACGCTTGAGAGGACGCTTGTGCCACCCTGTTGGCAGGGTCCTTTGGGCTGTGGGCCAAACTCCAACACTGTCTCTGCCTATGCCGCGGACCTCTCTGAAGCCCCTCGCGAAGCGTGGCTGCAAAGCTTCCGATGACACTATTCATGCATATCAATGCCGCTTCCATGTCCACTCCGAGAGCGACCAATCTCAGGACATCCGCTTGGGCGAGCCCGAAGGCAGTCAGATTCTGTTGTGACCCGGCGTAAGAAGTGGAAATTCGGCCGCAGGTTGCATAACGGATGCTTGACAGCCGACAACACACGGCGATATAGGGAGATGAAGCAGCAGCGTAGGCCTTCCTGCTGCAGCAACGTGCAGACATACAGTTACGTGTTAGAATTGGAACTGTCGGAGAAATAGGGAGAGACAAGATGCACAACCTCGAGGTACTGGACAGCCCCGAGCACCGACGGCCTGAACGGCTCCAGCTTCACGTACGAGATCGTCGCTCGTCAGAGATCTGTTTTAGGAGGCGAGCCTAGTTGTTATTGCAGGGCATCTTACCGATGTGCTCAGGAAATGGATGTGGGTGGCGTCTTTACCACTTTAGGTCTGACGCCGCTGCGATGCAACGAGGTGCTTGAAGCTGTTTGCAACGAACCGACTGCGTAGCAACCGGATTCTAAGGACAGACACCAGCTTCCTCATCTCTGGCCTACAACTGCAGTTTGCTTACATCTTCAGGACAGATTGGGTCGAAAACCATCCAAGTATGGACGCGTCCGGACGAAACGCTTTCCATGTCGATCTACATGAATGCATAGGGCACTGGGGTGGGCAGGATTAGCACCTACAACAGCGCTGGCTACGTGACGCGCTCCAATGTCTCCACGACAAGTGTTCGTCGATGTAGGTTCGGAATTGCAAGGCAACGTTCAAGAGCACCTAGTTCTTCTCAGACACTTGTTTTGATCAGTGTCGGTTCCTGATTAATGAATACCCTATAGTTTTTGGGCTGTATGTAAGCCCATTGCAATCCCTGGAGTCGAGCCATGCTCTTGCCAATGGGCGACTCATGCCAGGGCATTGGCTACACTGCGACACTTCCGCCTGCTGTTCCGGAGCCAGCGAGCCCCATTCCAAGGCCTTCCCCGGCGTGTCTTAGAGATCCATGACCCCGTTGTGCATAGCAGGGCCAGGCAGTTTCAACAGCAAGCAACAGCAGCAGAAGCGGCAGCAACAACGACAACGACGCCAGCAGCAGCAGCAGCAATAACAGCAGCAACAACAACAACAACAACAACCGCCACAACAGTGATGACGATGATGAGAGCGACAAGAGAACGATCCAGAACAGCAAGAGCAGAGATCTTAACTGTAGCAGCTTCACTTGCTCCGATCACCACGGCACACCAGCACAACACAAAAAAATCCAGCAACAAAAGGACAACCGCAATCGAGAACACTCCCTCTGAGCCTTGTCACGTGGCCTAGCTCCGGTTCCGAACACCCTCTCTGACGGCACTCTTGTGGAGCACAGGTAAGAACAGGTCCGACGCAGAGATTTCCTGTCTTGCTTGTTGAACAGTTCCCTCTGATCTGCAAAGAAGCACACAAGACAGACGCGGGTGATCTCTGTGATCTTCTGGGTTGACGAAACGTCTGCGGCCCTGCTAAAACTGAGCCGCGACACTGCCAGGTCTACCTGGGACCTTCGGACGCAATTGTTGGCTGAGCGGGTCATTTCAGGATGCTTGCTACCGGATTCTGCGCTCTACAAGCTGATGTGTTCTGCAATGCGAGCTTCTGACACACCTCCTGCAGTCGATCTTATTATGTTCCCAGGTCAGCAGCGCCTTCTTTCAGCATCCTTCCATGGCCTCGACCCCAGTGCCTGAGGGCGTGTCACTTCGCTTCAGCGCCACAGCCGTCAACGGTTACGCTTCTTGGCTGAAGCGAGTGGCTACCCGTAAATGAGTTCAGCAAGACCTCCAAAGAAGCAGCCGCAACTAAGCCCCAAAGCACTGGGCAAGAGGCCCATCGTAGAGGTATTCCAACTTGCAAGCAGGAAAAGAGCCTTCAGAACTAACTAAAGCAATGGGCAGCCCAAGCAAAAGGAAAGTGCATCAACGCGACGCGGTCAGCTCGGCCTGCTGGATATTGCTCCGCTCCCGAGCAGTAGCACTGCAGAAACAGGAGAGTAGTAGTGGTCGTCGTGATGGCGATCCACCATGCCATTGGGGCTTCAAGACGGAGTTGGTGTTGGTTCTTCTTCCGGGTTTAGATGACAGATGAGAGCCGGCCGAGGATTCATGTAACCGAGCCCCTTAGCCACCCCGAGCCGAGTGAGGAAGAGGCAAGACTCGGCGAAGAAAAGAAGCACAAGACAAATTGAGCTGGTTTGGCAAAAGTGACGACAAGAAGATCACCACCGGAATGGACAAATGGGCGGAAGAAAACCACAACACACAAAAGACACTACCACACCAACTTCGCGAGATTCGGGCTCAGGCTTCCTGGTGTGCGGTTGGCGGATCATCGTGCAATGAGTGTTTGGTTCGTCAATGTGTGGGTACTGGAATTTGCTTGTGACGCAGCTGTGCAATGCAAGACAGTGCAATGTTTCAGATTCGGGCTCGTGGGGCTGCACAATGTTTTTTTGTTTTTTTTTAAATAATTGGCACTTCAGCAAGCTTTGGTCCGACTTACCAAGTTGTTGGAGAAGGGAGTTCACCTATAATCAAGAACATGTCCAGCAATTCCAAGAGCCGCAGTCAGGCTTGGGCAATGGTTGTTGAGAGCAGCAACCTCGACATGGTGACAGCGACAACGATGAAGGACCTCGCCAGTTTGCCAGGGGGCTGGCTTCTGCCTTGCTGATGAAAACAGGCTTTATGAAGGGGAATACAGAGCCATGTAATCGGAAACACCACAGGAAAAAAGTCCAAGAGCAGGGGTCCGAGTTTTATTGAGCTGCTTCATCCTGCCTGGCCGGACAGGATGGTACCTATGCCGTGGGTGGGGCAGCTTGCTATCGGGCACAGCAGGCGCCTTCCCATTGCAAACAGAAACACTACGACACCTCACTGACCCAAAAGGACCGGGCACGCAGTGGCTGAGAAGGTCGAACGCATGCTTGTCGTTTCCGGCCACCGGGGTTCTTGCCCAGGCGGTTGCACGCGGTGAAGTTTACTTCTGGCGCCTGGGAAGCGACCCGGCAAGAGACTTTTGCTTGGGGCAGCCTCCGGTACTCAGCAGGGTTCAAAGCGAGCTGCTTGCCGAAAAGCTCACCGAGAGATGAGGTGACGACAACCCTTCAGATCCAACAGGATGCTTTTTATCGCATGGTGGGACCTACGCCATCGTGGCTCGTTAGCAGAATGGCGATTTTCCGATTGATCGCTCTTAAGCTTGCCTGATGTTTTTCCTTGGGGCCTCCATGGTCACTTGCGCGAGAGGCGACCTACGTTCAAAGCGTGGCGAGCTTCGATGCGGGGCTCACTGACGGAACGTTGTCGGGCCCCATCGAGTTTACAGCGTCTCGGTGCATGGTGTGTGCAAGATTTTGCAAGTACGCGCATGAGCTGCTGAAGAGCCTGCAGGCACGTTGCAACATGTTGCATTGTTGGATGTATTTGTCGTCGTACCTGTCCAACACCAACTCAGGTGGTTTCTGGCCTTTCGAACACTTTCTACAGCTCTCCGACGCTCAACAGAGACCAAGCGGCATGCAGAGAGACTTGCGAGATCTTGCGAGCTTGTCTCTCCAGATGTTTAGAGCAAGTTGAGGGCCCGAGGACCCCGGGTATCTGAAACATAGCCGACTTCCTCTTGGAACAGAGTGTATGATTAAGTATGATTATGTATCATCCTGGTATGTTCGGAGCCAGCACGGGATCAGAGCGAGCGAACGGAAGGCATTCGTGTCATGATGTCATGCGCATGGATCGTAGCCTTTTTGGTCGCACATCATTTTGAGCACCTGAGGTCCACTGACCGAGAGTGGAGTCACGCTGGCCTTTACACCACGCAGGCCTGGGTACGGTTGGGCGATGATTTTGAGCCCAGGCAGCAAAATGACGACAAGCAAGACATGTCTCCACCTGCCATACAGTAGCCATGCACGATGACAATACCGATATCTTCTGACTGCAGATGTCCAGCGTCAAGCACTTGACATCTCAAGGACGGAAGAACAGGCACGCTCAGCGACGAAGGACTGTGCCGGGTTCAGTCGCAAAGGTGAAACAGAAGGCCTTTGACTTGAGGCGGACTCCCGGCTCGTCCGATCTCACCCTAAGCTTCTGCAGCCATACGTTCAGCACCAACAACAAGGAAGTTCTCCAGGTCTGTGGGTCGAGGTCGGTGCGTCGAAACTGCTTTATGGCTTTGTGCTTGGAATGATGCCGATAGCAGTGCTTGTAACTTAAGAAAGCTGTCAACATCCAAGAAACCGGCTGAAAAACCTGACATCAACTGACAAAGGTGACGAGCTGGGACGAGTCCTTTCGTTTCCTGATGCATCCTGCTGTGGCAAGGAGCATGTCTACAGATTGGATGGTGCTTTGGGTGGACCGTGTCCTAGCAGCCATCGAGAGCACAATCAGGTAGTCCCTGCATTTCAGCAGTGATGTCATACTGCCCGAGTGGTCAGCCCGCTTCAATCACCTCTGTTTGTGATCCAGTAGCTGAAGGCGATCCACACTGCACTAAACTCACGTGACTAAGTTTCTGCAAGCATGGTCCTCGACAGCTTTTTGCCAATCGAGAAGAAGCGTGGGTCTTCTCAGGCTGGCCTGTGTCTTCCCACGAAAAAATTCGCTGCGCCTCCACCAAACACCCATTGGACCAGTTTGGATCAGAGTCCGAAGTCGTGCTCATTTCACCCGAAACATGCGCGAATGCCCACTTTCTGCTTTGAGGCTGCCTCCTGACAGTCGGCAACCGATATACCGTTCTGGCCTACATTTCTGGCATTGGAGCACACCTGGACGGGACGTTTGAAAGCGTGTCTCTCTGGCATCATGCGCTGAGATGGTTTTTTTAACTATACTTGAGGTACCTTCCTTTGCTCCCGGAAAAGCGCAAGTGTTGATGTGGCCGTGGGCATGAGATGGCATGGCATGAGGCTTCTTCAACTGCAACCAGTGCCAGCAACGCTTTCTCTACGTTCCCAACCATCTCCGGCCCCCCCAGCGGAGCTGCTTGGTGTGAGGTACCAGTAGTCTGCAGGGCTCTCGCATCAACGAGTCGCGCATCCTCTCGAAAACTCAGGATGGTATCACCGTGCAGCTGCGGACGAGGTGCCGTGCAGAAGAGCAAAGTGTCAACAATGCGGGGCATGGTGCTTGGCATGGTCGTTGGTCCGTATCCAACAGCTCAGGGCTCCTTACTCGCCAGTGTGAGAAAGCCATGTCGTGACTGACTCGCCGCCATCGCCTTGGTTCTGAACCGGGCCGGTGCCTCGCATCCTCGCAGGTCGAGTGGTTACCTGTGGCTGATGATCACTGTGGGACCCGTGGCACTTACCATCGATCTGATCAAGGCGAGTCCTGAAGGGACAAGTTGCCAGACTTGCCATGCCGGTTTGATGGAGCTGCCCTGTTCTGATGTCAAGGCTGGCGTCGGGGCTGTGGGCGCCAGTACCTGCCGCGTGCTTGCAGCCACTCGCCATTCGGAACAGCTACACATACCTTCCTCATCCTTCCTCAGCAGAATCTTCAGGTGATTGCTTGGAGCGGCCAGAAGTGCCGGTGAGTGAGGGAGATATCGTGCCAGGAAAGTATGGTGAACATGCGCCTCCTTCCAACACTACAGTCACTAGTCGTAGTAGGTCAGAAAAGGGATGGCCCTCCAGCACCGCCCTGAGATGCATGATGCATCTGCATCTGATGATTTGATAAGGCGATTGTGGACGACAGCCTGCAACTTTGGTCAAATTTAGCAGTTTCGTAGTGCATGGCAGCCATGTGCCTCTGCACAGTAGCCGCCAGCCGAGGCAATCCTTCGATCTGTCGGACTGCAAGCTAAATTCTGGTCCCGAGTATGCCCTGCACTCTTACATTGAGGGCACGACATCTTCAGGGTGCTTTGGCAGAATAGCAGTGTCTTGCATCGTGAAGCGCTAATGTTGGCTGTCAGGAATGATGGCAGCTTTGCAGGGACAGTCACGCTACTCGACAGCATTCAAGCCTCCCGGAGACTCTAAGCACATTCCGTGCTGAGGTTCCAGGTCACTCCTTCGAACATATTTGTGGTCTACCCATCCATCATCTCAGAGACCACAGGACTTGGCTTCACTTTCCAGACGCTTGGTCGAACCACTTGGCAGGAAAGCAAACCCAGATGACCGGCGTACACATGCTAAGGATGACCGCATCCTTTGCCGGACGCTTCTGGTTGCTTCTTCGCGAAGGCAATGCGGCCATCACGGTTGAGGCACAGCGACTGGATGCCTGCCGGAAAGACATTGTGTTCAAGCGCCCAGGAGATCAAGTCCGGCACCGGTGCTCTGGGTCTGGCAGAGTGCCAGCGCAGCTCCGAGGTTTTGACGGCGTCACTTCAGGCAGGTTTGGTCCTTTGCAGAGAGGCCCTGGTTTGCCTCCCTCCCCCCCCCGTTCTCTCGAGGAGTTGGTCCTCACAAATTGCCAGCTCAGCCAAGACAGACTCTACAGCTTGTACGTGTACATCGAGGCCGCTACAGCAAGACGCTGCAAGAAGATTGATAAAGAAGCCCTTATTATTGAGCTGACAGGATTTTAATGGCAACGACGACGGCATCATCGCTGGGCCGATCAGTTTTTATGTCAATGGCTGAGGAAGTGTTCCGGCATTCTGCGGCAACATTGAAGTTGCCAAAACTGGCAACGCAATCACATCGCTATGCGAGTTGCAGTGACATCCTAGAAAGTGCTAAGGTCCTCGAGGCAAACAACTTTGAGGACTCACCTTTGCCCGTCGAAAACTCCGCCACTCTGGACGGGGTGGCACTGTCGCGTTCTTGCATCCTCGACTAGCCGACGAGGTATGTCCTGTTGCACAGGGCTCAGTACCTTTCGCTGCCAGGTGCGACTAAGCTTCATGGCCAGCAGAGAGGGCTTTGCTTGGGCAGCCCTCTTCGAAGACTATGCAGAGGCTGTCCTGGGGAGGGAGGGGTACGCTTATGGGCTTGGAGGCAGCATGTGGCGATTCAGGCCTTGGCCTATTTTCTGGACGTCCCCACCTTCTTGGACCGGCATGCGACCTATTTACGGACAGCTCTGGAACGGTCGAGACTGTTGCATCCGTGCTAGGGAGTCGCATTCTGGCATCTGCACCGAGGTATTATCCGACAAACAACGAATCGTGTGCCCCAGCTGGGGTGCCCGTCCTCGCCTCTGGCAACATCACAAACATGACCCTTGCGGACTGCGGCTTGAACTACAGCGCAACATATTGGGCAGTGGTCTACATTGAAGGCGGGAGATGCACTAGACGAGAGCCTGATGTGCACCCTACCCGCCAAATCTGAGGTATGACAAAGACGAAGTCCGGGGCAATCTCAGCGCCTGTTGAAGTGTTTGTGCCTCGTGCATGCCCCAGAGTTTCCGGAGTATCCACGACATGAAAATGAAGAGATGCGAAGAGGGGCGATGCAGTGGCCGGTAGATGGCAGAGATGCTTGCTGCAAGCCTCCATGCAACTTCGAGCGGAATGGTCGCAGGCTCCAACGGCTTCCCCTACACACCATTAGTGCTTCAGGCCGACGGCGTGGATTGGGTCATTGTGCAAATGCTGCATGCTGTGTTTCTTCTCAGTTCGTCCTGCAGTAGAGAGGACAGCCACTTGACGGTGCTCACGTGCCAAGTTCACGGTGCTTGCTTGCATGAATACGCGATCTCCTGTGCCACAGGCTCGACCTTACTTTGTCGACGTGGAAGTCCAACCGGCAGTCTTCGCTGAATTCAGCCCAAATTGCACCCAAACAGGCATGTGCTGCGACAGACATCAGCGGGCTGATGTAGTATTACAGATTCTAGATGGACGTGCCTGGCAGTACTCTTTCTTCCCTGGCGCCAGATTGGGTGCTTGTCGGCCTTGGCTTCCCCCTGTAATTTCGAGTGAGCCCGGCTAGCTTCTGGAGATCTCAGACCAATGCAATGCCCGCATGATGTCTGTCAAGGCCATCTCAAACCAATAACAAACTAAAGTGCTGAGACTACACCGACACTGTATACCGTAGGCTAGAGAGGATGCATGTCAGGAGTCGCCTGTGCTGAGGTACGATCTGGCTTCTTGTGGATCATCGTGGTGCACGAGAACCATACTCACAAAGTCGACAGGAAAGCAGTGAAGACTGGCATCGTGCCTTGGCCGCTGCATAGCTTCATGCGAAATGGAGCCTATGCACGAGAGTTTCAGTTGAAAGGTGAAATGTGTTGTCAAAGTCCTCATTCTCATCGGTCGTCCGAGGTTTCGGTGCTTGTAGCGGTTGGCCGTGCCCCCATCACCTGTCGCGTCCACCCTTCAAACACACCAAAACTAGTACTGAAAGCCCAGAGCCCAGAGGTGCCATCAGGTGAGGTCGTGTGTGGCCTGTCTGAGATCACGGTGAACAACAGCGCGGAGTCACCTGTTGCAAAGAGGCAATTGGCGGGAATACGCTGCCATCATCTGATGACAAGCTATGGTATAGTGTGTGACTGGTGAAGATAGTTCATGAAAATACTGGGAAGTACTCTCAGTTTACATGAATGTGTATATATACAAAGATGTGTATGTGTGTGTATATAGAATGTATATCTATATATATATATACACAGCTTCCATGCGTATGCAGGCATGGATGGAGGGGTGTATACATGTGAAGATAGCTCATCATTCTGACACTCATCGGTGCAAAGAGGTGGCCAAAGGGGAAAGACCAGAACCTGTGCATGATCTAAGGTCACATCGTGCAACTTGGTGGAAAAAATCGATAGAATTTAAGGCTGCTGACGGCGTGTCAACAGATGTGCGAGGCATGTTTGTGTCCTCCCTGTTCACCCCAGGTCGAGGGCTGTCGCCTGCTGGCAACTTATTCATACCACGCCTTCTTCTATGTCGAAGGCTAGGGACAGTTGTCTCCGATAGAGCGCTGTGCAGTGGACGTACAGGCCCTCAACATGTTCAAGGTTTCCAGACTTGCAAATCCATTCAGGTTTGCCTAGCCATTTGGCTCAGCCAAGTCGGGCAGGGCCCCCGCCCCCGCGGTCGCTCCGAGCCGAGCGCCGAGCGCAGCCATGGCGGAGGACCCCACCCTGGGCATTCGCTTAAACAGGATCTGCTGCATCGGTGCGGGCTATGTCGGTGGCCCAACCATGGCAACCATCGCATTAAAGTGCCCAGATCTTCAGGTGAACATCGTAGACATGAACGAGCCGCGAATTGCCGCGTGGAATTCCGATAACCTTCCCATCTACGAGCCTGGGCTTGACGAGGTGGTCAAGGCATGTCGGAACAAGAATCTGTTCTTTTCAACGGATGTGAAGAAGGGCATTGAGGATGCCGACATCATCTTTGCTTCCGTTAACACACCCACAAAGACTCAAGGTGTGGGCAAAGGCCGGGCTGCAGACCTCAGATTCATCGAAAGCGTTGGGCGCACCATCGCTCAGTATGCAAACCGGAGCAAAATAGTAATCGAAAAGTCCACGGTCCCCATCAAGACTGCGGAAGCCATAGCAAGAGTATTGACAGCCAATGAGGAGGCCAACGGCGGCAGAAAGAACTTCTGGATTCTTTCAAACCCCGAGTTCCTGGCAGAAGGAACAGCCATGAAGGATCTAGACAAGCCGGATCGGGTTCTGATAGGTGGCCAGGAGCAGGCTGCCATCAAAGTCCTGGTCGACATCTACGCCCACTGGGTTCCGAGGGAGAAGATTTTGACCACCAACCTTTGGAGCTCGGAGCTTTCTAAGCTTCTTGGCCTTGTTCGCAGATAGCGTTGCTAGTTTTCTTCTTGCGTGCAGGTGATTCTTGAAGAACCTGGGCTGTCGCATAGTCCTGGCGCACTGCGCTTCCAGACATCCCAAACCCCTCAAGATGTCGGCATGGGAGTAATGGGTGTGTCTTCGGGGTTGGTAGACTCCTTGAGATGGGCCATGTGACTGTGAGGCTAGTGGCCAATGCAATGCTTGCACAGCGTGTGAGCAGCATCAATTCAATTTCGAGACTCTGCGAGCGCACGGGCGCTGACGTTAAAGAAGTGTCTCGGGCCATCGGGACCGATTCCCGGATTGGACCCAAGTTTCTGAATGCTTCCGTGGGCTTCGGTGGATCATGCTTCCAGAAGGACATCCTGAACCTGGTCTACATCTGCCAGCAATTCGGGCTCGAAGAAGTTGCTGCATACTGGCAGCAGGTGGTGGACATGAACGACCACCAGAAGATTGCCTTCACCAGCAAGATCATATCAGCATTGTTCAACACTGTGACGAAAAAGAAGATCGCCGTGCTCGGCTTCGCTTTCAAGAAGGACACAGGAGACGTGCGAGAGACTCCAGCACTCACCGTGTGCGACATGCTGATGAAGGACGGAGCATTGGTGCATGTCTACGACCCCAAAGTGGAGATTGCAGATGCCCTGCAAGAGTTCAAGTATCACGACATAGAGGTGAACCAGAGCCAGTTCATCTTCACCAAAAGTCCAGAGGAAGCTTGCGATGGTGCACATGCCATCATTGTTCTCACGGAGTGGGACGAGTTCAAATCCTATGATTATGAAGTGTTCTATCAAAAGATGATGAAGCCAGCGTTCCTTTTTGATGGACGCAACATGCTGGATCACAAGGTCCTCGAGGAGATAGGTTTCGAAATGCATGCTTTGGGCAAGGCGCGTACAGCCAAGAATCGTAGCAGCGAACAGGATTTTGTGCTGCGTGCCAGCAGTGCCTACCTCGATGACAAGCTAGGAGCCTATCCCTGAATGCCACCTCCGCGGCCAGCAGTTACGAACACGCTGAGCCTCCCTGTTTCATCTTGTTTCAAAAGCTTCCCCTGCACAGCATTCATCCGGCCGCGTTCTCCTAGGCAGACGTAGCAAAGAGCTACGGAACCAGGAGATAGGCATGCTAGTTAGGAAGTTTCAGAGTCAGACCTCGGAATAAGCGTCGTGGACGTGGTGATTGATCGCCCAGAAGCCACAAACGTGCTGTGCTCTCTGTCTCTGTCGATATCTCATCAATCGTTGTCAGCGTATGACAAACCAGTATATACCCGTGTCTGTGAGGCCCAATATTGGCAGAGGAACCGGATGGAAGTTTGCAAGGCTGGTATGTATGCTTGAGTGAACGCATAGTGATGTGAAGTTTGTTTGCAAACATTGCAACGCCGCAGATATCACAAGCTTTATGATTGTCACTGCAAAACGCTGAACTGCTCGCGTTCAGGACTGGATGTAGGAAGTACCGTCCCCTTGCGTGTTCGGCTTTGCTGATCCAGCATCCAGGAATGTCAGCAGCCAACTCAGAAGAATGATAAGTTTCCCGAACAGCCGTGTGTTTGTACTTGCATGACTGTGGCGGACTCTCGAAGCAACTCAAGTCACATTTGCCTTGAAGAGGTCCGGTGCTGGTTTGGTACAACTCATCCAACCACTTCCTGGTTCAGCTCCTCGGAGAGTACGTCACAGCAAGTCGGCGGCGCGGAGCCGAAGCACTTCAGACATCTGGACAGCCTTCCAAGGCCTCGGATTATCCCAACAATGACCACGAACGTTTTCTACTTCAAGTTCACGCCAGATGCTTCGTTGCACATTGTTGCACCTTCCAGCATGAGGCCTTGAAAGTTTTTTTGTGCAGCCTACGCAGGGGTGGCTTCCAGTCCGAAGATAAACAGATCCGAAAAGGATGGTGGGGCGGGCTCGCGAAGATTCGAACTCCAGAACATCACGACAAAATCCCCAAGACTTCGCGATATTTACACAAAGCGGAAGCATGCTGCATTTCAATCTCTTTTCTTTCCTGGAGACATAAGACCAATTCGGTTCTTCCCCGTCACCGGGTGCTCTGTCAACCGCTCTAAGGAAGTCAGCGGCAATTTCTGGGCAGTTGTGGCAGACAACGCCGACGAGGGTGGCCGAGCTGAAATGCTCATCCTGTCATTTGAGTAGGCTCATGCCAAGGTTACCTTGTAGCTCCTGGAAGGAAACTTATGATGTTCCGAAGAATTTTTCCAGCATGTGGCAGGTGTCATTCCGATGTGATGCTCTGCGAGCTCTTTCAACTCCTTTCCAAACTCTAGATTTGACACCTGAGGGTTGTTCTACGCTGTTCTATGCAAGTTCGGCCGTGTGAGAGGGCTTAAAGTTTGTTTGAGGTGTGCGGGAAACATCCACTAAAGCAGGCGCGAAAGGAACACATTTTTATCGCGAAAGTTGCATCAACACGCGATAATGCACTACAAGATACGAACATGTCCTGCCCTAGCAGCCTAGCATCTTCCATCGACTAAGCACCGAACCAGCACGCACCTGAGTCTAGGCCTCTTGAACCGCGTGAGACCGAAGACTTTTCGATTTCTTAGCTGTGCCCATGACACTTTGTGAGCCGTGAGCCTTAAACCTTACGGAGCCCTGGGTTCTGCGCCTTGCACTGCATGAGCCCCCAACCCGTACAGATATCAACTCCAGGCCCGTGTACCGAACACAAGTTTTGAATAGATGGAGGACGCTGCTCGTAGAGACCATAGCGATGGAGATAAAAGCTTGGTTTCATGCCTGGTTGGTCAGGACCGTGCATGTCTTTATGTATGCGTGTATGTGCTTATGACGTTACTTATACTCATGTCTAAAGTACCCGCAAAATCAAAACACTTCTGCGCGAAAGTTCGCACATCTGGCCGCCTCAACATAAGCGCAATTTCGAACAACCACCTGTCCTCTGTGAGTACGCGTCTGCAGTGCAGTTGTTCACACTCTGATCTGAGGCTTCGTGACGGTTTGGAGCATCAAAAGTATGCAGCTTGATTGGCGTTTGATTTAAAGACTCCGTTTCCAGGGAATCTGCCCGGAGGTTTCCATCAACTTTAGTTATAGATGCTCGATTTGTGGTGCCTTTCGGCAGCTTGCCGCAACTTCTTGCACGGGTGCTTACATTCTGGCATCAAAAGCCGCTGCAGGTTGAAACTGTTCTCATTGTGCGGCGTGGGAGTCTCCTTGAGCTGGCAGGCAATACGGACAGCCAGCTGCGGACTGCCGTCGGGACGGAAAGTTCGTGACTGGAGGCCTCGAAAACACCGAGGACTGTTTCGTCATGCATCACGAGTTTTGCGTGGCACCTCATGTCCATGCTGGCTGCTACTGGCTTTGTGCTCGCTCGTGCTGGGAGTAGCCGTGGAGCATGCAAGGAGTTCCTCTTCTGCTACTTTGAAAGAGGCCCCACCACGTACAAGGTCTTTATCTATCTGGAGGACGCATGCAGAGAACTGCTGAGTCATCTGAACCTACAAGCGATGTCAAGATGCTTCGAGCTTGGAAGGACACGAATGGTCAGGAAGACGGGATTATGGAAACCATTGGAATAATTGTCCCAGGCAGCGTTTGTCACATGGAAGTGTTTGCTTTGCACCGAATCGGAAAGTTTGCAAACCGAAGGTTCTGCAGAGGTCAGCAACGAATATTTGGTCCGGCCATATCTTGTGGAGCCTGCCACGATTCGTGGTGCGAAGGTCTATTTCCAGGTCAGGAGGACGTCTTGTCGGGGACCACCCGTGCTCACATTCTCGAGCACTCCAAAGTTTAGCGCAAGAACCCTCCCGAAAGCCGCAGGACTGGATACGCGTGGGCAGGTCTTATCGAAGAGTCTTCCTGGCTCACACGGAGAGCGGTCATTGCCTTAGGCTTCACCAAACTGGCTTCGACGGAAAAGAGGTCAGCTCAAGCCAGCCAGTCTCAACTTCAGGTCAACAATTCCAATGGCAACCATGCGGACAGGCAGAGTATCGAGATCTACGAGACTTGCTGCAAGTTACAAAGTATGCGCATCCCTTTCTCTTTGTAGCAGGTGAGAAAGGAATGCCAGGTGATTGTCTTTCTTGAAACACCGATGATTGCCAGTGAACTGTATCTGTGACTGTGACTTTTCCAAGAGGATAATGTGCGGTGCCCCCATCGTGTCATACCGACAAGTTCTGCTCGAAGCCAGACAAATGCAACCTTTCCTCGGACTTCGGACTTGCGGTGCACTTCAGGATATCATGTTCTTTGTTGACATGCGCCTTGACTGGCTCAGTGATGCAAATACGCGAAGTTCTACAAATCACAGACTGCACGCACATGGTGTCTTTTGACTGAAGTTCTGGCTCTGTGTTGTTCCCGCAAAGTTTATGAACCTCTCAGTCCAGTCATCAGCTTTTATGTTGCTGCTGCTGTTCTCTGAGAATCAGCTACTGCCCGATGGATAAGCGAAATTTCCCGTCCATCTGGTCTGCAGGGTGGGGTCGGACCAGTTCTGCTACTACAGCGCTGTTCCCATCACAGCCAATGCAGGCCGGCTTTAGCCACGTAGGGTGGAAGAGCAGCCTCTGGCGCAACAAAGGACCAAACCTGCCAAGGGGCTGAAGAGATGGATGGACATGTGAGACTGCATTGCAACGTCGCATCAGGATCCATGTGAACGTAATTATTCGATCATCTTCGATCTTGATATCTTTGGATCATGCAGGCTACACCTGGGAGTTTCTGAACTGCGGACTGACGCCGGGTGCTGGCCGTCTGCAAATTGAGAAGTCTAGAGCAGTTGAGATCCCGGTTGAGAGGTGAAGCAAGACGGCAAGCTCAGCCTCATGAACTAAGAGAACTCTGCCGTCGTAGCAGGTCGAGGCCGAGGCGGTCAAGGTATGCTTGTAGAGGCGAATCTTACGAGTCCTGTGGTGAAGGTCAGCGAAGTTCCCGGCCTCTCGAGGTTTATAACAAATCTGCTCCTGCAAGCCCCGACACAGAGTGCCGGCATTGTCTAGGGAGTGCAAGTCAACGTTAGGACGCTGTGTCGCAAAGAAACAGCATAAAAAGATGAGCTGAGGGTGATATCGGCCAGCGTTACACCAAAACAAGGAGCAGGCTGAAACACCCAGCGAGTGTTTTGCCAAAAGGTTCGCTATCGCCTCTTCGTCTATGTCATTGGTGAGGAGCTTCGGCATGGTGTGTGCAGACAGAAAAGCATCGCGCCAGAAGCCGATCTCCTCAGCCTGGCAGGAATATTGGGATGTTGCCGTGGATCCAGACGCAGTGTCCTAACTGCACGCCATGTCGCCTCCCTCGTCATGCCTGGTCCAGTGGAGTTTCTAATGGTTCGAAAAAGGTGATGCATAGAGGAGCAGTCTCAGGTGTTCCGGTCCCCCTTCTGGAACCAGTGGCACCGAGACAATGGCCGCGTGTCGAACGGCATCTCGGCGTGGATAGGCTTCAACTTCACTATGTTCTACAATCCGCAGCTGTCGTGATTCTGAACCCCCACGCCCCCGGCTTTGGTTTGCTTGAGGGAGCTTCTTGCAGCTGGAGGTGTGCTCGTTGAGCCGCCGTTTTCAAACTCCTGGGCATGGCCGGATGGTGACTTGAAACGAGCTAGTAATCTTCACGAACAGGATGCTGAGTTGCGAATCTGTCTGTCTGAGGAAAGCTCTTTTCGTGAAGGCTGTTTTGTAGTCCACATGTGATCTTGGAGTGAATAGACATATGACAAATTCGATCTTGTGTGTGAAAGGTGAGCCATACATCTCCAAAGGTCCCCACGGAATGGGCTTAGACGATTCTTGGCAGACAAAGGAACTTGTATAACTGACTGACCCTGCCTTGAACTACCGAGCCGGGCCAAGTCCTGGCCATAGATGTCCGTAGGACATCATAAGGCTGTGGTGTATGGATGCATGTTGACATGGTTGCAATCCACTTGATTCGTGGACGGGGTGCTGAGGTGACTTTTAGCACAG